CAACCACGCATACGTGTAGTAAAGGACATAATGAGATGTAACGAAAAAAATTAAGAACTTCATATGTGGTATTTCATAATAATAATACTGACCATCATTGTCAGCTGACCGCGATTACTCTGTTCCTTCCTAAATGTTTCGCATTGTATCTACGTATCTACGCTTCGTTGTAAATGTAGATTTCACAAGTATTTGAAATTTGCAAAAACTCATAGTGTTTAACTTCATGGTGTGTGGAATATGTATCCACTGTAGAAATACATTTTGTTATACTCCAAGGCATACACTAATTACGCATATATTGGTAAGATTAAGTTATTATATAATTAGTTTGTTTTTTAATTTTTGTCAGTAAGTATAAGTACTGTTTGTCTTGTATGCTCGTCGGCTTGCGGCTTAAAGTGCATAGAGACAAAGGGAACAGCGTCCACTCACGGCTCTTGGCCCGATAGTTATGGCGGCTCAGTTTCCGCATATTTTTGTTTACTGGCCGAGCCGCGGGACGAAGGAATCAGTCAGTCAATAACAAAGACGTGCCAAAACTGAGCCGCCATAACTGTCGGGTCGAGCTCCGCGAGTGGACATCTCCCCTTACCCCTGTGCACTTTTAAGCCTCTGGCCGGTGGTCGTAACGTGTGGAGCGAATAGTAGATACATATCTACATACTTATTTATTCCAAGATAACAGCGGCTGAGTCGAGAAGAGTTTAGCTTCAAAAATCACCGAAAGCTTCTTTAAAAAAGAAATATTATTTTTTCTTCCTTTCGATCTTGACGCTTAATATTAATCCGTCTTGGTAATTCGATTCTATGAACACAGTGGTTTGTACCCAATGCTGTACATGTGAATAAATGACTAGGAAAAAGATTATTAAATAGAATATGAAAAAAGAAAATAGTTGTTGATTTATCGCAGAACACTTATTTTCAATAGGATTTCAATGACATCGATATTTTAAATTAGGCTCTATACTGTTTGTTTTACATTTTTATGAGAAACAAAAGATTGAAATCAATGAGCGTAGTAATGTGATACCTTTACGGTCATCCAGCCCGAAGGTATTTACCGTTACCTCACTATACATGCGAAGTATAGGACATATGCCACCATGCAAGCTTTTTTATTTAATAAATTGTATTTTTAATTATGAAGTTGATGTAAGGAACTGTAAAAATATTTACAGAGTAAAAATGATTCATGTAAATTTCTCGTGGTTGCGTATTATCATTAGAGTCGTTAAATTAGGCCCTTTATTCTCAGTAAGAATACAGAACAAAAAAATTCGGGGTTTCCTTTAACGCTACGAATGCTGAATATTCCCAACCACAATGTTCTGTATGAACGGAATATTTTTTGCTTGGCTTGCATAGTTCGTAGCAACGACTTTTATCGGTCACATGTATGCGTTTATAGTCCTGAAAGGATGAAACGAATTCGGCACATCTTACTAAAAGATCTGAAAAATGATTCAATAAATTCCAATAAGAATTTTACGCTTTTAGAATATGTTTCGGTATGTTTTTCAGTTTTAATTCTTTGCCATTATAATTTTCAGTTATGTAATCGGACTTACTTAGGAGGTAAAAGTAATGATGCACTCAGTAGTAAAAATAACCATGTAAAAAAGTAAATCCTTTCAATACCATTCCACTTTTTCTTCTAGTATTCTTTTGTACTATTTCTCGTTCTCGAGATATGTATCGTGATTCCCGTATCAATTGTGAAAATCACCTTATGTACATACAAGCATCGTTATCAATATGTATTCATACAAAATTATAACAAGATTGCTACTCAAACAAAAATTGTCTCAAACGGTTAAAGAAATTCTTCCTAATTAATCACTTAAAGAGGGACACCAGCTAGAGACCTTTTAATTATAGGTAAACTTCAGGAATTTTTTGTTAATAACTAAATATTTCTCTAAATCGCGACACGCGGGGCAAAACGGAACACTAACCTATGTATAGCGTATGCATATAGTATTCTCACGATTTGTACCCGGTACGATCTGTAGGATTAGTGCTCGGCTGTCATCCCCACCACTGAGGGGCGAGTCCCCTCAGCAAGCCGTCAAGTTCGACGGTCGAGCAGTAGTAATACGATACGCTATTCAGTAGGGTAGATATCGGTGAGACAATATTAATGCAATTACAAAATTTTTTTTTGTGAGGGATGATTTTTTGTAAATATAAATTTTACTAATGCATTTGTGAGATTTTTCTGATTAAAACAAGGCCAAACAAGACATATTTTAAGTCACAGTTTACTAGAAGAAAATAGATTATTGTAATTTATTAAATAAATAAATGTGTCCCGAAATATATCGTGTTTGGTCTTGTTTTAATTATAAAAACCTTACAATTCAATTGGTAAAAATAAAAAGTGAAAAATAGAACAGTTTAAAATAGAATTAATAATGCCTCATTCATCTGTTTCTTTGATCGTTCTGAAGGTCGGGCGTCTCGCTCTTTCATTAGCGTTGTCTTTCTCTAGAGAGGACGAACACACCAGAAGCTTAACTCGAATCTTATCTGCACTTCGAATCAACGCCATTATACGATTAGAGCCCGGTCGCAATCCCGATTTTCGGATACCAGTCGTGAGAATATTGTATTTCCGTTTTACCTACCCGTTTCACTTTGCCCTACTCTTCCTTACTAAGATTTATTGCAAAAGTCTGACCAATAAGTGCCAAACGACGTAACTGCGATGCTTCTCTCCCGTATTGAAATGACAATGTGGCACCAAACACTGCCGTCACGTTTATTTCATTTCATAATAATACATAAATGCACGTTGTATACATAATATAATGTAATATAATGTAATACGGTATGGTTTAATATCATAAAATATCACTAGGAGAGCTGATAGCATCATGTCCTCTATGTGCTGGTTTCATTGATAGATGCATGGTACATATATGAACTGAACGATTCCGGTACGTCATATTGAATCGGTCAAGAGCATGCAGCTACAGAAGAAAAGAGAAAATAGAAAGTAACTAAATATTTGCGAGTAAAATTAATATTTCGGTTAATACATGACAATCCACTTTATCGGATCACTGCACAGTGGTCTGAAAACCTGCTTTCTTGGTCAATATTCAATTTTTTAAGTTTAATATTTACTTATTCAAGTTTAAGATTTAATTAATCAAATAAAATTTTTTCTGTACAAAGTAAAGATACTCTATAACTCATAAATCCAAAATATTATTTATTTTATATGATTGTATAATCGAGCATAATGTCTTAAAATGAAAATTCTGAAATTTAAAGTTAAACTAGTTTTTTCAAATATTCAGTATAGGTCATCAAATAACAAGTTTTGAAAACATCTATATGCGTAATAATAGTTACATTTTGATTATTTAATGGTATAGTAAGCATTTATTAAGTTATGTGAAAACTATGCAATGTTTATAACAATTTGAACTTTGCGAAGGGTTTTAGAAATATGCTTGCGATTACTAGATATGAGGATACTTTTCTATGAAAATATAGACATTACAGGAAAAGAATATGTTCTTAGGTGCCTCCGCCTGCCACTTTCATTTTTATATAGATTTTAAGGAATGCATACACGAGAGCGCGAGCATTCGCAACTTGTAGATACCGTTCGCGCTGGGACTAGAAACTTCATCCGAAATGGACTATGATGTTTTCGACAAGATAGAGAATTTATATTGCTACTTTTTACACATTTAGATAACATTGGATTAGAAAACCTAGAATAATTTTAATGAAATATTTTGTGTTTTATGATTTATATTTTATATATTTTGTATTATATATTTTTATTCGTTAGTTACTTGTTATTTATATTACTTATACCAATTATATTTTTCCGAAGAAAAAGTCAGTACAAAAATTCTTTTAATTTCGTTCATACAAAACGAATTTCTATATCACGGGTGTACTTTATTGAATCTGCCATTTTGAAATTTAAATTTTTGGTGTCAAATTCGCCATCAGTAACCCCAACATTCCCTAATTACCCATTTTCAAAAAGTTTGTATGACTTTTCAATTTTGCCCACAAAAACAGGTTTCTAGACCACTGTGCATTGAGAAAATTGCAGTCGTTTTCTAGTGCGCCATGGAGTATGTTACGTAATTAAGATTACTTATATTTCGAATTCGATTAGAGATAGAAAATTATGTTCAGAGGAAAACTGAACGATGCAATAATGTTTACCATCCTGCGACTTTACTTATTTCTGTACGTGCAACGAAACACCTAAAAAATGTAGTGCACTTTCTTGGAAAACAAAAATTGTGCAGTTATTTTTTCTATGTATATAGCGGAGCATTTCGCTTAATACTATACATTTACTAGGGAATACTATTAGCAATCATATACTATAATAGTGATTAAGGACCATTTCCGTTATACACGTAATTTTCGTATTGCGTATTTATGTATACAGTATACAAAGGAATATTATCTTTGTCGCACAGCATTTAATAATCGAGACTGCAAGTTTCAACAGTATTAATGTAATAAATATATTACTTGAAACATTTTAGCACGTCAATTACTTAAAATATTTTACATTTACATCCATAAAATAAGTACAGTATTGGAAAAAATATTTTTTATTATTTTCAAATTAATAGCACATACCTATATACGGGCTATCTACCGAAATAAAATACTTAATACATCTTCGCTTACCTGCCGTTACGTTGAAGAAGTTAGTTGAAAGTGTGATAAGTTTACAAAAATAAGATTCGAAATGTACGTGTACGTTCCAAATAAGTACTAAAAAAGTAAAATATTTTTCTCTTTTAGCCTTATCACTATTCAACAAATTACTCAACATATTTTTGAAAAATATATTCTTGCTTTAAAAATTTGTTACAAACAAAATATAAATGTTCTGGGAAGACACTGTATTTACTAATATTAAAAAATCTGTTTAACATTTCGGAAATGATATTTCTTTAAGAATATCCTTTGAATGATTAATAAGTTCATTTTTTAAATTACAGATCTTGGTTTCTATGCATTGCCTGCCAAAGAAGAACTGAGCCCAATGTTTCCACACAATTCTAGTTCACATGAGATTTCTACAGAAACAAATGCCTTCGTACAAAATTCCATGGTAAGATTTAACTGATAATTTCGATAGAATCAGTTATTTGTCACAGTGAGTTTAGGACATCTTATATCATTATTATATTTTTTCTATAATAGGATAACAGTTTAAATATCATTATTATTCTATCTCGAACACGAAGGAAAAAGGATAAGTACGCAAACCGACTTAAGTGTTAAAAAAGAAATAAACAAAGCTGTAATGTTTTCCAAGGTAGATTCAGGGAACAGAGATTAAAGTATTATTCATAAGCTTTGGGTGACAATTAATTTGAGTCAACTCGCAATTTCATTACCTCAAAAAATATAGTATTTTATCGGAAACCGTGAATGCGTAAATATATCAACACTTTTTTATTTTAATGATTTTTTAATGTTGTCAAATGCATGTTCATGAACAACTTCTTCCTTACACAGAATCTGCAGAACACTATAATTTCCAAAATAATCACGAAAATTTTGCTTTACCACAGACTGAATTTTATTGGGATGATGCAAAATTTTTTACGATTTCTTGTTATACCAAAAAAAAAGAAGAGTTCTCAGCTGTTCGCTGACTAAATCACAACCAAGCAAAAACAAAGAAGAATTGTCCTTTTCATACATTATAATAGTTCAAAGAAAAAATGTTGTTAACCACGCATAAAAAGTGTCAAAATTTTTTCATCAACCCAATATATACTGTTTACCTCTTTCGAGCACAGTATCTACCTTAAGTGTAAAAGTGTACAGGGACAAGCAGAATCAGCCACACGCTTCATTTCGGTCCTTTTAGGAAACATGGTAGCTGAACCTCCGTGTCCCCATGATTTGGTAAATATAAAAATCCGTCGCCGCGCTGAAACGAAATCCGACGCCAATGTTCGTACATCTAACTTCATCGCGCTCCGTTTCGCTTGCGTTCCTTATTGCGCGACTCGGTCAATGACAAAGCATGCCGAAACTGAACCGCTATAACTACCGGGTGTGCGCCGCGAGTGGACATCTCCCCTTGTCCCTGTGCAGTTTTAAACAGGAACAGTACATGAGCATAACTGTGAGACGGCCACTGGTATATCTGTGTACTCACTGCTTCGTCTTCAAATTAATTATGTAGAAATGAGTTTTACTTAGCTAATAAAGATCATCATAGGCGGAGAAAGTTTTTTCGCGGGATGGGGGTACAAAACTGCCTCGTTCCAAGCTTGTAGTTTGTAATTCCTGAGCTAGAACTTTTGTGGAGGAGAGTACTGTAGGGAGATCGGTTGATGGATAGGTTGAAGAATGGGTGCTGAGTGACCAGAGTGAAAGAAAGCCCCGCCCATTGTCTCCCGCATTTATAACTCTAGCGTGCGATTTGCCAAAACGGTCACACAGTCCGTCGCGTCCCGCAACGTATACAGCAACGGATCCCTTTTGCCACTGTGCTGTCCCGCATGCCATCATTTTTGCCACATATGGTACAGCTCTCACGACTAGGCCAAGCTGCGCCAAATTGAAAATGCACAGGGACAAGGAGAGATGTCCACTCGCAGCACTCGGTCCAGTAATTATGGCAACAATGACGCCTCAGTTTCGGCACGTCCTTGTTATTGCCCGAATCGTGCTAAGAGGAACGCAAACAAAACTAAATGCTATGAAGTGAGATATGACAAACATTGGTCAGATTTCGTTTCGACGTGGCAACTGCTTTTTATGTTTACCAAATCATGGGGACACGGAAGCTCGGGAGCTATGTTCCCAGAAAGAACCAAGGCAGAGCATGCATTAAAAGGTGTACTATAGTTATCTGTTGTCGTCTACAACAGTCTCAGTTAATCGTGGTAGTTTCGTACGTTCTTTCGTACATCTAGAAAAGAGTTTTATTAAGAAAATAGAGATCGGTACGAGTTGGTTGGCATGTCCAAGTGAGGTAGAGACAGTGTTATTGTCGCTTTCTTGCTCATGTTTTTATTTTATAACACTCAAGAATTCTTCCAATTCGACGATGGTGTTTAATAAAAACCAAAAGTATTCGAGATTTTTGTAAGAATAACTTACAGAAAACTTTTTTATTTTCTATGAAAATCTGCCACATTCGAACTAGGATGATTTTTGGCAATTACAAAGTAAAAGTGTAAGTGAGGAAATGACAGTGACACTATCCCAACTGCCCCACACTGCCCTACACTCCAGCCCAATTCACCCAATACATACTGTGTAGAGATTAAAAGAAGTATCCTGGAACGGTATAGGGGTAAGAGAGATCTTTTGGGAGGACCGCTTATCTCCACCTCTGGCATACCGAAAAGTTCGTGCGTTCGTGTATGTCCCTAGAATATACATATGTACGAAGCTATCGCGACTGACTGAAACTTTTGTAGAGGAGAGTATCGTCTGGCTTAGAAGTGTTGGCGGCTTCCCATGAAAACGAGAAGTCAGGGAAGCAAGGGGACTCTTCCAGTCGCGATGTTCGGGCCGCCATCATCTTCGGCGCGTATCAATAACACAGGACGGAAGTGGGTCTAAATGCGTCGGAGTGAGATGTAACGATAGGAAACGAAGTTGGCGTGAATATAAAGCGTAAAGAAAGACTACAGAAATAGATAACATTTCTTTCGGGTAATCAGGGTGTATTTTTTCCTCTTCTCCGTTCGACATTTTCGAAATATTTATTTTCAATTTCTTCGTCACTAAATGCGTGTAAATATTCTCATGTATAGTACAATTATTGCAACTCTTCTTAAATTTCACATTACCGAAACAAATTTGTTGAATTTATTTTTATTGATAGATGGAATACTTTTATTTGGTGCAATACTAATTGTAACTTAATCTAAGTTATAATTAAAACACTAGTCTTATTTATATCTTCTAATAATAAATTTAGTGTTAAATAAAGTAATTACGACGCAAAGTGTTAAGAAGTTATGTATACAGTTAGAACGGGAAAACAAAAATAATAAAATAATATCCATACATAAAGTACTACCCATTAAATGAAAACAACGCTATGTATATGAAACTGGCACATTGGTCTTAGTAAAGCTTTAACCGTAGCGAACAAAAATCATAAATCATAGGAATGTAATGTGAACACCAATACTAACAAGGTTATTTTTTTATTACCGTTGCGTACAATAATATATAAATACTGATATGCCTGTCGGCATATTTCCGGCTAATTGCATACCCTGAGTTTTTACTATCGCATAGTACGCGCCAAACGCCCGTTATCCGGACAAAATTCAAATACCCAATTATTCAATATATAAGAAAATAGGATTATGTTATTTTGAAGGATAAGAATATACAAGATCCTATCTATAAGAAGAGAAAAAACACTCCATTTCTGTAATTTTTTGAATACATGTAAGCGCTGCTGTCGTATGTAATAGAATGAAACGCGAAAACATACTGGAGCGCCACCGTTTATATTATCGCCAACTTCATTCCGTATCGTTACATCTCACTCCGTCGCATTTAGTCCCGCTTCTGCCGTATGTTATTGCCACGCGCCGAAGACGATGGTGGCCCGAACATCGGAACTGGAAGAAAGTCCCCTTGTCTGCCTGACTTCTCGTCACCTAGAGGAGCCGCCAACACTTCTAAGTCGGACGGTACCTGCGTGAAACCCAAGAAGGTCGACGTCCGGCTACAGTTAGCGACACGATGGTATTGCGACTATGCTGGTAAATAACTGTCTCATGGCAACGTTCATGCAAATATTATTGAGAGTTGACTTGATATGAAGCAGTGTATCTGTGTATGACCGTTTCGACAAATCGCACGCTAAGGTTGTAAATGCGTGAGACAATGGGCGGGCCTCCTTCCACTCTGGCCACTCAGACCTGCATTCCTCAACCCAGCCATTAATTAAACTCCTTACGATACATGGAATTCAATTTCGTGGTAGGAAAAGTTTTCATGACTATTAGAATTTCGGAAACTATAGGGTTGCAAAACTTTTGGATTTCTTCGACATTTACCAATTTAACGAAAAACGGAAGCAAAGAGAGGAAACTGCGGTATTATCTTGAAAAAAAATTAAACATTTCTATTTTGAACTGAATTAAAAATAATTCCTATAATTCAAGCTTATTAATTTAATTGAAAATTATCTTATCTTTAATACAATTTAAATCTGTGCTTTTACAGTGGTCATTTCTTCTGTTTCAGGGGGATGTAGTAGTATTAGGGAAATACAGTCCGATAGGGGTGGGGAAGGGAAGAGAATCAGAGAATGCTAGGTACTGTGATATCGAATTCATAAACAACAACACGATGGTAAAACCTATAAACCATCTCAAAAATGTCGCCGCCAATGACTTTTTAACCGTCCTGTCGGCTCAAACTGGTAAGTATAAGTTTTCTACCGTTTTGCATCTTATTATCTTTTTAATGCCAAAAATATACGCCCCACGCGGCGTGGTAGTCATTTTTTTTACTGCGATTTGCTTTAACGTTAAAAATGCGGTTCCCAATCGGCAAGAAACTGTACTGTAAAAGTTGCAACATTCTGTAATAATTGTGCGGATAAACCACATTTATGTTTGCCCTGTTTTAACCGTGTTCACCGTAACATCCCTTCCTGATTATATACAAACTTGTCACATAAATATAATATTAAATATATTTCAACTAACATGTTTTCCTTTAAACTAATATAGACATCATAAAAAAATATTATGCGCGAGGATGCGACTCGCTCGGTAGAGTAATGTACAGTCAGGTATTTGTTAAACTAATTCCTAAAAAAATTAATTTATTGCTTTGTTGTGTTATGCGTTTTAAACTATACACCCTTTTCTTGACAGTTATGAGTTTTGCATTATTTTAATCATTGTAAGGCATACTCCAGAAACGAAACAATACAGTTGTATACGTATACGCTCCACGCGACCTGAACGGAAAGTCTTCAAAAAACGATCTGGCAGGGAACGTGTTAAGAGATGTAGTTCTCTTTTAGGTCAAATTACAGGAAAGCTACTTTTTCTCTGATTTCAATGATTTTTGAATATGTAGTAAAAGTCAGCATTTTAATTAATATTTTGTCTTCCATATAACTAGCGGTCGGGTTTAGTTTCCGAGATATTATCAAAAAGCTCTCGGTACAATACACTGAATTCGATAGTACGTCCGTTTTATTCATGCAACAGTGAAATATTTCTGTAATTATTGAAAATACGAAAATAATTTTTCAGATAAGAGTTATTCTGCATGATGTGAGATATTTAGTAAGTTATTTCGATGCTTTTATGTTGTTATTTAAAAAGACCTCAAGGTCAATGCAATTTTTTAAAACGGAACTACGTATGTGTTTTCATTGTTGTAAGTTTAATTTTTTTCAAGACGAATACAACGATGTGATTAATGTTTACGTTTAATTAATAATATATCGACTATTTTTATAAATATTTGTAGGGATCCTTGGCTTTGATAGATCTTCTCTTGTCTCGCGAGTGACGAAACAATTGAATATCGTCTGAATATCGCTAATTCTACTAATTTAACGTATTCAATGATGGTATGTATTATTTCTTATTAATCCTTTCGCTGCGACGGATGACTATAATCAACGGTCACAAAAATTTAGGCACAAATTAAGAAAAGTGCTGTCGCTCTTTTTTTATGTGTTTTTGTGTGTTTTGAAAAGTTTTATACAGAATATTATTATTAAAAAGTTATTACTCAATATTATGTTATGAATATAATTACTATTTTGTTGTGTAGTGTAAAAATGTTAATTGTACTGTTTAATTATAAAAATACGTTCATTGAAAAATTATAAATATATTGCTATGAATACAAATCATTTTGCTTCTAAAAGCGATGTTACAATGGCGTTTTTGAGACAAAAGACTTGGACCCAAATGCTGAAGACTGCGCGCGCGCAATGTTTACACCTATGTCACGGCGCTTCGTTCTGCGGCAGGGATCTGTAGCAAGGCCCGCTGTAGGGAAAGGGTTAAAGAGGATGTGTAATTTAATACCATAATAATAACCAAATTTTAAAAATAATAACGAAAATATTTTAAATACTGGAGGTCACGTAGAAGGTTAACTGAAATTTTATAAAATATTGCATTTCTACAACAGTGAAAAAACATTCGTCTTTTTTCATTCTCCTATCATAACTTTTCCATAAAATTCAATGTTTTCAAAATAAATATGGGTCTCAATGTAGTACCAAAAAGGATAATAAATTTCATATACTTCTTAGTGATAAATAATACGTATTAAAAAGTAATTGAAATCGGAGAAGAAGTAGTTCTTCCTTAACTTCACCCCTTTTTATTTCAAGCTTTTATTTGATTTACACTATAAAGAAATCTTAATCCTCACTGTACATCGTCTAGGTCCATTCGGATCCTGAGCCGATGACCGTGTTTTTTGTTACAAACTCTGCATTGTTCAACTATTTATGATTGTTCATGCTGTTGTGATTTCAACAGATTGCAGCGGCTAGTTGATGGTTAGGTTAATGAGTTTAATGTAATTGTATTAGTTAGTGTAGTTGTTTATTTTTCTGAGCGTTAGAGTTACGTCTAATTTTGTACAGGAACACGACTTTGCTCGAATTACGGATTACAACTAGGGATCAAGGTTTGCACCGTGTATCGGAAAGTAACGTGTATACGTATATACATGGTGTTTCTAAAATATACCGCACAAATGATAGGGCGTATATAATTGTGAACAGAAGGATAAGGGAATGCTCGGTTGAGCAACTGTGACAACTCAGTTTCGACAGACTTCACGTGATTTTAGATACACGTGTATAGAGTGTTTCTAAGTGACATGTCCTGACCACCACAACGTGATTTCATGCCTTCGATTTGATGGGAAGGTGTCTAAGAAAGTATGTAATGCTAAAAGTCACTGACAAAGTAAGGACCCCAATTGCCCGACTCTGATTTTAATAGTTTTTTCCTAAGATGGTAGTATACACATCCATAATGATATGGGTAACATATCAGGTGTAATTACTCAATAGTTTTGGAGGTATAAGCAATTAAGGTTACGTACCTTTTAGATGTATCATAATCGTAGCAATCAAAATATTTTTGCCCAAACAGACTCGTTGATTACTTTGTATCACGAACACGCAGGGATCGATTCCAGATCATGGCATTTTTCACTTATTTATTCGTTTTTTACTGTGACAAATATGTGCATAATGTTCAATGAAAATAATCCGGAACACAGGCGAAACAAAAAATTCTTGTGGAAAAATACAAAAAAGTAAAATTTAAAAAAAATTAGAACCCGAGTACAGTGAGGCTTGCTTGAATTCCACAATTTCGGGTCCCTGCAGTGGAATTTACGCGAGCAGAAGAAACATGAGGAAGCTATTTCCTACCAGCAATTGAGTTGAGCACAGCCTGACAAAGGCAAAGAATCGCTATAGTGAGTGAAAGCGAAATAGACACAGTCCGAGGGTCGAAACGCTGGGCTTCAAAGCGATGTCGCACGTATCAAATACAAACATGCAAAAATTTCAATTGCAGTCATTTTAACCTTACCTTCTTAAATATAGTGCCAGTGAATTTCTGAGATTGTTCTGATTGAAATGAATCTAAACACGATGAAAATCGGACTAATTTTGCCGACTTAATGTAATTAACGAAATTAAAGGTTCATTTCCCCCAAATAAATAAAACTAGATCGATTTACGTCACGTTTGCTCTCGTTTTAATCAGAAAAATTGCAGCAATCCATGGGTACCGCATTTGAGAAGGTAAAATTACCGCAGTTGAAATTTTCTTGATTGCACGAGTATATTTGACACATGCGGCGTCGCTTTGAAGTTCTGCGCTGCGGCCCTCGATGGTCGATGGACTACGTTTATCCCGTTTCTCTCCATTGTATTCATTTTCTGTCTCTGTCTTTTGGGGCACGCCAGACTGCGCTCAAGATAGCGAGTGGGGGAAGAGTAGGGATGGTGTTTTGCAATTTAGCCGAGCAGATTTCTGTGGAGTTCAAGCGAACCTTACTGTAATGTGATGATCTGGAATCAACCCCAGGATCTTGGAGTTAGGAAGCTGTCAACAAGCCCACTTTAACTTTAATTGCTTGTATCTCCAGAACTATTGTGTAATTACACCTAATATTTTACACATACCATTAGGAACATGTATACTACCATCTCGCAAAAAACTATCAAAATCGAATAATTGAAGTCCTTCTCTTTTGAGATTTTGATTTTGGCGATCTTCTATTTTCGAATGAGAACTTCAACGGTATTTTGCGAAAAATGAATCATTTCCGACCCCTGGTTATTTTTAAACTATATACCTCCGCGACGAGTAAAATACGATATAGCGATACAAAATTTTAATCCTTTCCTTCAAAGTCAGAATGAATTTTGTGGTTATTTTCTTATATTTTTATCCATCAAATTGAAAGTGTAGAATCACACCGTCGTCTAGAGGTATTGTTTCACATATATTTAAATTGGGCGCGTGAAAAGTATTAGGTGCCGGAAAAAGTTCGTAGGATTTTCATTATTGGCAATGAGTTGAGATTTGATTTCAATCAAAATTTCAGTAGTTTAATCAGTGAAATTGGTATTAGTAGCAAATTATGTTTATGCCGTTTATCAAATAAAATTAAATTATTTTACAAAAACGTTGTTTGCGTTTAAATATTGATGTAAGAACCTGCACGAACTTTTTCCGGTATCTTACATTTACATAGTTGCATGTATCATCCGTTGCAGCGAATCTGACACTCGTGACGTCATATGGGCAGAAACAGTCGCTGGCTAAGTTCGTCTATCCCTCCTCTGCGGTTCCGAGAAATCTAACTGCGAGTCCGGAAACGGCACTTTGCGCTCCTAGTCGCGCGACGCGAATAGTGTGCATGGGGGCCTCAGCGAATCATATACTAGGACGGAAAATTCGTGTAGGCAAGGGGTGTGCCTTCAAATCTGACCACTCAGACGAAAGTGACACGTTCGCTGCAACGGACGGTATATACAGTGTACCGTCTGACTTAGAAGTGTTGGCAGCTCCTTTAGGTGTCGGAAAGTCAGGGAGACAAGGGAACGAACATTGACGTCGAATTTCGTTTCGACGGTTTCTTATTTTTATGGAACCCCAGGGATATGGAGGCTTGCCTACTACGTTTCTTGGACGAAACGAGGTGGAACGTATGGCCGATTCTCCTTACCCCTGTGCACTTAGTCTATAGGTAGTTGGTACAAGAATGGGTCATAGACAATAATTTGTTTCATAAGTTGTTAAAAGGTCCTGAATTTAAAATCATTATTTATTTATTAGGCGAGTTCCCTGTATTTTGGTTCGAGCCGAGTCGGAGAAATTCGGTCGGGCGCTCGTGGCGCTGCAACGAGACTGTATAGTGGCGTAGATTACTACAGCCGAGAGAGTTGTGTTTAGTTGTGTATGTATAGGTAGCAGATTTTTGTGATTATCTATAAAACTAGAAAGTAGCGACACTTTTGTCACAAGAATGAGTTACTTTAGAATTACGTCCCCGTACAATATATCCAAAAATCACCGAAATTGGTGAGGAGCACCCCGAAGTAAATAATTACCGTAATATTTAATTTATAATCAGAAACAGTGAGTACCATTTAAATTCGTCGAATTCAATTTAGAATTTTCATAAACAACCAAACGGTTTGGCTTTCCCCACTCCGCCTTAGCCCTTCTACGATCCCATTCCTCATCAGCGAGCACCCTTCAACAGCCTCCACAACCACCGCAGAAGCCTACGGTAACGCCAAGAAAAGGGTAATTCATGTTTCCCTCAATTTCCCCGATCTGGTCACACTGGATTGTCTGAATGATCTCGGTCAGCCCTTACAGTTTCGGGTTGCTCAAATGTTGCAGCCTCCCACCGGGGCTTACCCGAGTTTTTTCGGCTCGGCCCGAACAGTCGAGTACCCGACACACTCGGCAGCCCGTACACGCTTATTCTTTATAAGTTTACTGACAAGGGAAGTTATCAAATCTGGGAATTAAAAAAATTATGGAACTTTAATTTAATAAATTACAATTTATTAGGCTTGACTTACACTACTTATACACAGACTTTCATAATTTTTTGAATTTCCGAGTTCGATAATTTGCCTCGTGAGTGTTGCATCACATAATTCGGCCAACCAGAGATTTCCATTCAATTTTAAGCATTTGTACAACTCGTACAACAATTTTGTGTTTACTTGTGTCTAACAAGGGAAGGACGGAAGGACCTCAACTGTCCCCTTCAGATTTGAATGATTTTTTGTAGGATAACAGTATGCTTGTATTTGTTAATATTTATACAATACTAGGCGAGGATAGCCAAGAATTTCGAAGATGTAGGCATTTGAAATTACGTACCTTGAATGTATATTACGATTATAATTTGAAGATGATGTTTCTTGAATTCGAGTCCTGTTGGATTACACACATTCTTTTTTTTGTTTTTCTCAATTTTTTAACTTTCTACTCTTTTGAAAGTGTACATAGCGCTGGGTGATAATTATCGTATACAATAATATAAGAGACAGAGAAAAGTCAAGTAAATAAAAACACAGATAACATGAAATTATATGCCCTTATTCTTTCTATTATATGCCCTATAATGATCATAGCATTTTATAACACCTTCTACATACTTTTATTCTACTAAACAATTTTTATTTTATTAGAATAATACTATTTGTATTCGTATAAACACAATCATTAACGATTTATTAATATATGTTATATTACAACTCGGTCCACTTCGGCTTTCGGCGCATGATCATTATTGGCGCGCGGCAATAAGAAAGGACAAAAGCCAGATCGAATGCGACGGAGTGAGACGGAACTATAGAGAATTTTGTTTTCTATCGTTACGTTTCACTTCATCGCATTCAGTCTCGCTTCCATCCTTTATTTTCCGAATGAAAGACTTCCCTTGCCCCTGTGCTCTTTTAGCTTATTGGTCGATGGAGCTGCGATGGAGCTGCAAACGTAAGAGCTGCAATGTAGATACTATATAAAACGCATTGCAGAAGTCAAAGGCGTTAATTACGGTTCTGAGTGAAATGCGTTTAAAAATTAGTTTCTCATTTCTTTAACTATGACGCAGCAGGATAAAAATTCTGGAAAAAAATTTAGAATGTTTGTCATACTAATATACTATTGTAAAAATTAAAAAGTCGCCGTTTGAAAGCTTCAGTGCGAAGTCTACACTTTTTTACCCTTTTGGAGGTTTTTCATTTTTCACCCTAAAGGTTTGGAACAAAAAAATATCCACAAATTTTCAGCCATATATTGTTATATCGGAAATGCCTCAGAATTTTTCCAAGATTTGTACATACCATTAAATTGGGAAAATAAAACAAAAACTGATATTTGAATTTACACTTTAACTGCCCGCAGTGATGATACCTGACGGATATTGCGGTTCTCCTTTTATGGGTATAGGGGCAGAGAGATACTTGATTGACCAACAATAACGCCTCAGCTTTGGCAGATTCTCGTAGTAACTCAACCTTCAGAATGTTGTAAAACGAATGAAACTCTTGTAGATTCCCATAAGGACGCATATGAGAGTAACGGAACGAACGAATATCGATTAGTTGGTGTAGCGAGTGCAATGACTGCGTTCTTAGCTGTGAATCCACGACTCGATCGATGAACAATGTCGTCCACATTTTCAGTCTGTCAACCCATCCTGCAACAAACAAGGACCCTGAACGCTATGTTCCTTTCCCATGAAAGATCCACTGTTCGTCAAGTACTGTGAATATCGGTGAACCGGCTTTGTATTATATATTCACACTTTGGGAACGGCTTGAGCTTTGTAGGATGTTTCACGGACACTTCACGATTAACAGCCAACACCGTCATATATAGCAGTTCACACTCCATAACTTTTGTCTTAAGCGCATCATATCATTCATATTTTTCAAGACAATTAGGTATTCTCATTTCACTTGCAATAAATTTTCTGTCAATACAAGACTTATTTCTATCTCGGACACTGTGGAGACTTCGACCTATGTACTCTAACGCATTTTTTTTCACTCTGTTCAGTGTTTTATTCGTCATTTCATTTGTGCGGTATACACTTTGAGCACCTCGTATCTAGTTCAGTTGAAAAAATCCCGAGAAAGCGTTTATTGAAGTGTAGGAAAATCAGCTAAAATAGAATGTTTTTATTTCCTCCCTCCGACTGTTTCCATTAAGTTTCAGGTATTTTACTAAACGCTAATGTCTGGGGTTATAGGGGAATTTCCCCAAAATATAGGTATTGTGTATAATAAGACAGTTAATGAAATGAGATTGAATGCTAACAAGTTGTTGTCCTAATAAATGTAATTTCTTAGAAATCGTTTTCCTTTTCTTTCAGGCAAGTCCACCTTGACCAGTCGAAGCCCGACCTGCCAGTCAGTGGCGTCGTTAACCACAAAACACCCAACAAGAAATCACCTTCTAACTTACGATAATAATAATAATAATAATAATAATAATAATAAAAAGAAGAGGAAGAATAATAATAAGAATAAGTATAATAATAAGAAGAATAATAAGAAGAATAAGAATAAGAATAGTAATAATTATATTAATAATAGTAATAACAACAAGAAGAATAAGAATAAGTATAATAAGAATAATAGTAGTAATAATATTAATAATAACAATATTAATATTAATAATAATATTAATAATAATAATAATGTTAATAATAATATTAATAATAATATTAATAATAATATGAATAATAATAATAATAGTAACCGTAGTAATAACGATAATAAAAATACTAATAACAACAATAATAATAATTCTACGGTAAATAATCGCTCAAGTCGAGCAGAACATAATCATCAAGATGATCGAGTAACAACAGTTAATGCAACAAGGAAAACAAAAGAACCGGGCTCATCCGGTGACCGCAAACCGGGCAGCTCCGCCAATAACTCTAAGTCTATATCTAAGACACTAAGTGATAATGAGACTAGCTTTAGCGCATTAAACATTAGGGTACTAAAGATAAGCATAAATCTACGATTAACAGGAGATAAGTGCGCAATCGGTGAAGGGGTACCTAGCCTAGTTAGGATACCCAAGTCTGATCGCCCCTCATCAGGCCACTTTTCTCTCGACTCTCTTGACAATTACTCTTTATTAGGGTCCTGCCTTCATCCGGGCGAAAACAATAACGTTAAGTTTAATTCTAGCCTCCTAAGTAATAATAACGATAACTACAAGTCTGTGATATTGCTCAGCTCAACCAATAACCATTATTTCCTCCGCGTCGAAATGGACGGTGGTGCGGTCGCAATGAGACTAAGAGCCCATTGGAATTATAACCCATTAACGATGAACTCTTCTTTCGACGGTTTATTGTTACAAAAACGATTGCTTTCTGCGCCGCAGATCGAACACCTTAGAATTATGAAAATGTTCTTGACGAATAATCAAATTGCTTCGAGCAAGCATTCCTCGATAGCATGCATCTTCGGAATTATTAAGATACCACAGGAGTTTGTGTCGAACTATTTTAAAGACGCCTGGAGAGAATCTTGTGTGACACGTATATCATTAATCGCAGTTAGTCTGAAGAATGTGAATTCTCCGACGTACAAGTTATCAAAAATGTTTGCAGACCATACTCCTTCAACCGAAATTCAACCGGAAATTCTGAAATTTCTATCCACATATCTATTTTTGAAAGACGAATCTCGCCTTCCGTTTAACGTAGAAACGATAAAGATATTACTGACGCTTACTATAAAGGGCATACAGACACCTAAGAAACACGTTAAAGAACTAAATCTCCTCTCATTCGAACTACTCGGAAGGTCATTACGTATCCTTGACAAGATTTTGTTGAGAAGTACTGTTTCAAAAGCGAACACTTCGTCCACAATGATCGAATTTTTTCTCATGGAAATCAACGCTATGAAGAAGAAGGAGGAGAAGGAGAAGAAGGGGAATGAAGAAGAGGAACAAGAGGAAGACGAGGAAAAAGAAGAAGAGAAGCAGCAAAAGAGGAAGGAAATGTTGCAAAATATTATGACGATCAATATCGATATATCGTTTATAAACAATAATATTGCATTAGCAAGCATTGAAGAAATCTGTAAAGAAATATCAAAGTCGCCTTTAAATTTCGTAATACTAAAGAAAGTTAAAATAAGTGATAGATCGTCGAACGAAGAATCAGATTTGATAACTACGAAAGGAGATAATGTGGCCACCAGTTCTTCCATTACGCTTATCGTTCCCGGAAACGAGCTAACTGACCAGCCTCCGCGACCTCTCCCGTTGAGAAACGCGCTGAACCGCGCACAATCCTCTCCTCCATGGCTCGACCTGGTCGCGAGCGAGCTGACGCAACGTGCATGTGTTCCACTCTCGTTAGATCGTAAGCTTTATGTGGTTAAACTTAGCTGTAAGGTGATTTGCGACTTTAGTATTATGTGGAAGGGGATACCGAGCCACGAGACTAGCTACAAAACGACGCATCCCAATGTCCAACTCTTGAGTATTTCTTCGATGGTGAAAAACTGGAAGAAATTGGCCTTTAACGTACAACATTGTATGACTGTGAACGAAGCGAAGCGAAACATTGAAACGGATTATCGAACTGTCGTTTATTATAATACTAAAATAATCGTGATTTCTCAAAGGAATTCGTTGATGGGTGCTATGGCAATCCATCGTACAATTTGGAACCCAAAGAATGCAAATTTCTGTACTCTCTTCTCTAAAATGCTCACAGCTGGAAGAGACGTGAGTTCGACCTCGACGGATCAAAATTCGACGTTTTTATTGACTGCGGAGACTTTGATGAAGAAGCGAGTCAACAGGATGTCCACATCTGGCAGAAACCTTACAGGCAATGCCGAGTCTGTGTTCCTGTTGATGAACAAATTTAGAAGAATGTATCCGATACTTACGACCTCGAAGAAAGAATATCCAAATGCTTGGTCTATGATAAGAACCTCAGAAACAATGACTTTCGACTTGACGAGGGAAACAATGGTAGAGATGTTGTCCTGGGGAATTAACGGTATTAGTGACGTGGCAACAATTACTGTTGGTGCTCTTTTATTTCAGGATAATGTTAAGTCTAACGAGCCTACGGGCGCTTATTTCGTGAACTATAGGTACTCGGTGCCGTATATGCGTGTTGGCACCGAGTTTGTTAAGTCTCTTTCTAAGTCTACTATAGGGGATAGATTTAGTGTTAAGGGGGAGAACCAAGCCGAGTTCGCTCTCTACATTCCTACTACGACTACCTGCAAGCCTACGATGACGCTTAAACGCCAATCTGCATCCCGATTAATCGGTGTACCTGGATCTCGGCCGAACTACTTCAAAACATTATGGCCCGACCAAATGCATACTCCTCACGATTTTTATGACAGTCTACTGAACTGTAGAACGGGATATCGCAATGATTCTCTTCCAGAGGGTGAACACGAAGAATATTCTTCAGGATGTTTCGACTGCTTTAACGAACAAACCCTGCGTGAAGACGCAAACAAATCTGTTGCCGATACTAATCAAGTAAGAACGATCAAATCTCTAACTGCTATCTATTCGAAAGATGATCATTATCACAAAATGATAAGGGTATTCCGTTTTCGTGGACCTGAGAAAACTACTAATTGCCAAGATACGACGCGCAAGTCAATAGAAAGAAATGTTTCTATTTGTTCATCGTGCTCTAGTTCACTGAAACGAACCAAACAAGGATATCAAGCTTTTACCGACGCGGTGATGACGATGAATAACATTTCTTTAGCGAATTTCTGTGATTTATATCTATTTAAAGAGATGTACAAACTACGCAAACCTATCGGATTTAACACTGCGGAGAATAGTTTTCCGAGATATCCGATGCATTCTGATCACCATGCTTTAATCAATTTGACCTTCCAAACTGCCCAATTCGTTGACAATGAAGATTCTCGTGACAATTATCGGAAACTGACGAAGATGAATGCCATTGTAGTAAACCGATACGGTGATTCTGAGAATTCTGATAGATGTCGGGACTGTTTTCAGAATAGCCGAGATTCTGTCGAGAGTCCAATAATTTCGGCTCAATCGGAAGAGGAAATCATGTATACGCAGAACTCGGTTCCTAATCGTTTCGAAAGCGAAGGAACATTTACAAACAGCTCAAACCGAAATCATCTTATTGATCGTGCAAGGAATCTCATAGCAGCATTCGCAGGAGCCTCTAATGATGCTTTACTGCAGGCTCGCAAAAATGATCTTAAGCGTGTATTGACTCTCCTGTTTGGACCAGTTTACGATGTGGGAGAGCCTAATTTAGGATATAAAAAGCGATGGGGCATTTCCAGCATTCTTAGATTAGCTGGCGGCGGTGAAAGTTCATTGAACAACGGTGGATCTGCAAGTTGGGGATCTACACAGGCTAGCACTACAAATAACAATAATAGCAATCAATCTGCATGGGGAGGGACGTCAGGAAACCCTTCCGGGAATGGTGGCAATTCTGGAAATTGGTCTGGAAGTAATGTGAACAGATCTGTCAGCGGCAATCCCAATTCGAATCAGAATACGGTGCCACTCGGTGGGCAAAACGTTCCAGGTGAGTACACTCGCCAGTGTGTCCGGTATAGAACGATGGACTTGATTAGTTTAACTTTGCCCTCTTCGCATCTAGTGTAGTTACCAGTTAAAGTCGAAACCACAATTTCGGGGTTCGCGATTTACGTTTGTAAATTATCGTTCCTTAAAATATCCATTACGCGCGCTCGTATATCCCGTCTATTTGAATTGCTATAGCCAATCGCAATCCTTTAGGTAATGTGAACAAGATGAATAATCCGAATCAGCAATCAAATCAGCAATCTGGTCCACCTACTTCTCAATCAAGCGGCACAAATCAGGGTGGTCAAAACAATAATCAGTGGTCGCAAGGGATGTCCAACAATCCTGGAGGACCTGGCCAAAATCCTTCTATTCCAAATAATAATAATACAGTCCAGCAGCAACAGCAACAACAGCAACAGTCAAACTCCAATAGCAATAATAATCAACCAAATAATCAGGGTCAGGGATCCGTTAACAGTAGTAATACCCCTGCTAGCAATAATCCTTCGACGAAACAGCAATTGGAGCAGTTGAACACAATGAGGGAAGCGTTATTTAGTCAAGATGGTTGGGGCCGTGTAAGTATTTTCACAATTACTTGAATAATGTATGTCCATTTTATGAAAAAGTATATTATGTCGAGATAAATTTGAGCCAATAACGAACACCGTTCGATTATGTACGTACTGTGCGTTGATAACAAGTTGGCTAGTCACAAGAATTCAGATCTAATTGGTTTTTCACAGTTCTACCACTGCACAGTGGTCTGGAAACTCACTTTTAATACTCAAAAGTCAAAATACCACCGAAATTCCTTAAAAGTTGTTATTTAAAGGTTTTTGATGTTACTGATAATGAATCTGACATTAAACATTCTAAATTCAAGATGGCTTCATTTGTGGCCAAAATTGAAAAGTCATAGGTATACATGTATCGTCTATTTTCAACAATATGTAACTTTATTCAATAATATAACTGCCCAGCATAACTATTAGTATACGTAATACAATGTATACAACTGAAAAGTGTAATTATAAAAACGCAACTCAATGTAGATACACATGATTAGATTTCCACCACTTTACCAAGTGAACTAACGTTTCATTCCGTTCCTATAAAATGTTCTGGTTGAGTGCATCTACATTGAAAATAGACAGGATATGACATTTTATTTGCGCTAAAAATCTGCTTTCTGTTGTTTCCGACGCGTCTCTATAGCTTCATGCAATTGTTCATTGATTTATAAGAAATGTACTTTCGGTAGAAATAGAAATTTTATATAGTACTATTATGAACAAATATGTTAGATTACTGTAACAGTATTATCTGCTTCTGTATACACTTATTTTTATCATTAACAGAAGTTGTTTCTTTTTTTATAGCAACACGTTAATCAAGATACAAACTGGGACGTTCCAACTACTCCAGAGCCTAATTCCTCTAAAGATGGAGTTCCAGTGTGGAAACCACCAGTAAATACCGGTACAGACTTATGGGAAGCTAATATTAGAAATGGCGGTCAACCACCATCTCAACAACAACCAAAAACTCCTTGGGGTCATACTCCAGCAACAAATATTGGCGGGACTTGGGGTGAAGATGATGAAGCTACCGATTCATCAAATATGTGGACTGGGGCTCCTACATCTTCTCAGCCGAACACTGCTGCTGGCCAATGGACAACGGGCACCGGTAATCAAGCCGGTATGTGGGGAGGTAATGCTAGTCACACTTAAATTTCCTACTTGTCTTTATTATGTGTCATATTTTTGTTCTCTAATCTTCCTATATTACCTTTAGAAATCGAAATTTGTAATAAATTGTAATAAATACTATTATAGATATAATATAAATATTCGATTTACAGACAATTTTATTGTATAAAATAATAGAAAGGAAGAACACAGTACGTTAACTACAAACGTGTGTTACAAAATTTGTTTCAACCACAGCAATGTAAAAATAGTTTTAAATCTTTGATTTAATTTAACATAATTAGTAGTTTTTATTGTTCCCTTAAGATGTATCCCCTAAAGTGGGGTATGGAGATTTTCGGGAAGTTTTTTAGAGAGCCATTAAACATATTAATTTC